TTGGGCTTTATCCTTAGTTAAGGCTCCCCACCTTATTCTCGGTCTTCCTCGAGTAGACCTTTTTTCTCCTCTTTAACATAATACCAACGTCCATTACCAAGAGCCTATGCTGCGTCGCGAGTATCTCACCCGGAATCACCTTGCAATCCTTGCACAACCCTCTGTCACACCTCCTGAGGAGGAGATAGTCAATTTGGGTCTTCGCCACCGCATTTTGAAAAGTAACCAAATGCCTCTCCCTCTTCTGAAAGCTAGAGTTCACAATCATTAACCCAAAAGCCTTAGCGAAGTCGAACAACGATGTACCTCCTCCGTTCCTCTCCCTAAAACCAAAGCCTCCATGCACCTCGCCATAACCACCTGCGGTCGACCCAATATGCCCATTGAAATCCCTTCCTATGAATAGCTTCTCAGCAGGCGGAACCTGATGCACAATCTCATCTAACCCTTCCCAGAAGCGCCGTTTAACCTCCTCATCTAGGCCCACATGCGGCGCATAGGCGCTAACGATGTTTATGGTGCACTCTCTAACCATCAACTTAATAGTCATTANCCCTACCTCCCGCCCCACCCCCCGTTCCATGACCCAATAAGTAAATGCTTATTTAAAAAATCAGTTTCAACAAAAAAAAATTTAGCACTTCGAACTTACCATCAGCTATTTACAATCGGCTAATTCAAAATTTTCGGCAAAAGAATACCTATTGGCTGATATAAATACGAAGCACTAACTATTAACTCTATTTGGCCCTCACATAGACACACTTATTATTATAGGAAGAAAACACAGTAAATGTCACACCCTCACGTGGGCAAACCAGTCCTTGAATAGTGCAAATACTCTTTGTAGACTAGCAATGTCCCTTGGCCACTTCTTCCCTGTCCTTAAATACCCAAGCCGTAAGATCAGAAAGAAAAATGTTTAAGACTTCCTTAAATCAACGGCAAGGGGGGAAGGAATTAATTATTCAAGATTTTAAACCATTGGAGCGAAGAAATATTGAGTCACTACGACATTGTGACGACAAATTTTTATATTTAGATTGTGAATTTAAACTTATAAAGGTTTTTAACCCATGAGGATTTCTGAGATTTGAAATTCCAACAAATTTTTAAGTGGAGTTGTTTCGTGTTTTAGTTTGGAGTATTGTTGTCCAAACCTTTTTGGGATCTATACACAAATAGCCGTCCATATTTATTAAATTTTTTTAGCCATATACATAATTTATATATTGATTATATACAATTATATATATATACATAACACATAAATTATGGATATATTATACCTCAATCGGTTATTTTTAGTTTAAGCGGTCGGGTGGACGACTATTTAGGTTAATTCTTCAACATTTTTCGCGTCAAAAGAATGGGTAAATGTGTAATAGTTATTGAAATAGTGGCTAAAGCTTGATTAGCGGCCCAAAATTGACTATTTATTGAAGAATTAGCCCAAATAGCCGTCTACCCTATGACTTAATTTAAAAATAGCTGGTGAATGTATAATAAATGCATATTTTATCTATTAAATGTGTATAATTGTCTATAATCAACGTATAATTTATGTATATGGCTAGAAAAACTAAACAATTAATATGGCCGACTATTTGTGTAAAGATCTCTTATTTATTTTAACGTGAAGAATTAATCCAAATAGCCGTCCATATTTTCTATTAAATTAAAAATAGCAGTCGAATGTATAATATATATAAAATTTATGTACAATATATGTATAACTGTGTATAATTAATTTATAATCTATGTATACCGGCCAGATAAAGTAAATATTAAATTTAGCCGGCTATTTGTATAACAATTCCTTTTAAGTTGATGGCCCAAGAAACAAGTTTAGGCCAACCCAATCAGGCCCAATGATGACGGGGTCACCTAACTGTGTAACACAAACTGTTGTGACAAAGCTGTTGTCCCATTAGCAACACGTTACACCATATTTTCGAGCTCGTCAGCCATGGCTTCGAAACTCGTTCGTAACCGACTGAGAACCCTATGCAGAATCTCTCAACTCAGCAATGCTCGTTTCAATAATAAACTCAGAGACCCCAATTCCAACTTCCCTTCGTTACATAATCAAGTAAAATGGCGATCTTATTCGGAAGTTTCTCAGCCAACTCCTATAAATCCTCCACCACCTCCATCCCCTAATCCCTCCACCACCTCTACAAGTTCTCTCAATGAATTTGAACTTGCTAAATTCTCCGCCATTTCCGAGACCTGGTATCATATAAAGTTTCGCAATTTTTTCTTCTAATTGAGTCATAGTTGTTTTTGGTACTGAATTTGAGTTTAAAATCAGGTGGGATGCAGAAGGACCGTTTAAACCATTACATATGATGAACCCTACAAGACTTGCTTTCATTAGGTCCTCTCTTTGTCGCCATTTCAGGTAATTATTATAGTATATTAGCAGCCTTCTTTTCATGCTTATTTTAAAAAAATCATGCTGGGCTGTTTTTAGAGTTCGTTAGTACATTGACCTCCCTTATTTGCAATTTGTGTGTAACAAGCCCCTGCCTTTTTAGATAGGGTAATCAGCCAATTGGTTCCTATTTTCCGTTACACTTTCTAGAAAAAGTTACTACAAAATTTGCACTTAAAATTAAAAAACAGAAAATCAAATTATCCCTACCTTTGGCTCTACTCGAAAACTCTCAGAAGTGCATGTCTTTATAAAGAAGCTATTTGTATTTATTGTATCAACGTCCTAACAATGTGTTGGTGAAAATACAAGGAATTACAGTTGAAAAAATAAGATGAAGAAAAATAAATAAACATTCTTCCCGCTTAGGCACGGATATCTCGCTCTTTTTAAGGAGATTCAAGCCCATTGCGATAGAATCTCACCGGCCCCGCAGTAAACACTCTTGACTTGTCCCTTCCAGGACACAACTGCCCGACAATGTCGTATGACTCGAACAAATTCTGGACAAGTTATTGAGTCCAAAGCTCCACAAAAAATGAACACCTTCCTTAACGAAATAATATTCTCTATTGTAGAGAATAAGTTGGAAACTTAGTTTTCTTCTTCTCTCAACTATCTTTTTCACTACACTAACCTCACTTTTTCATGTACACTACAACACTTTTCCGATATCCAAACACAAGAAAGAAACATCATTATTTATAGGTGTAGAATTTCTTCCATAAAATAAATAACAAGGTAATGTGGTAATAAAATTTTAGAACATGGGTTGGTGGTTACAAATTTAAGTTTTAGTGGGTAATTAGTAGTAGATCATGGTGTTAGTGGTTATATGAGTTATACCAAAGATAATGACCACTTTCTTGCCAATTTATAGCCACTAACATCACAAAAAGAAATGCACTTTAATATTATAATTTTAATATTAAAATGCACATAACACCAACACAATGTGTGGCTCAAACCGAGTGAATTACTCTGATTCAAGATGGTGCATTCTTATTCATGCAGTGTATTTTGTACATCTTGACACTGCTCTACATGCACTTTTTACTCTTGTTGTATCCCTGGAAGCTAAACCTTTTTTCGTTGTATCAGGAAGGATCCAAATTGCACTAGACCTTTTGAAGGATTAAAGTTTGTCGATGTTGGCTGTGGAGGGGGAATTTTAACTGAGGTATGCATTCTTCAAGCTTAGTACTTGATTGAGTTCACTTGTACATTTGCATGACAAATTACTTTTCTCCTGTGAATATAGTTATTTGCCTATTTGAAACGTATGGCTTGGCAATGGCGCCCAGTGTGTGTGTGTGTGTGTGTGTAACCATGCTGCAAGATATATACACACATCTCATTTTCCCTCTTAATTCAGCCTTTGGCTCGAATGGGAGCTACTGTCATGGGAGTTGACGCTGTGGACAAAAATATTAAGATTGCTCGCCTTCATGCGGTATGTTTTACTCTTAGATGTTCCCGTTGTGCACTATTAAACTGCTGTTTTAAGTCTTGTCTGGTTAATGTATAGTTTCTGAAGATCTTTCGCGCATGAAATATTTTACTGTAGTCATCGTTACGACCTTACCTTGAGGGACAATTGCAATTTTGCTCCCATCAAAATTATAGTTCTTTTGATGGTCAAAGAGATTGGGAAGAAAGGGGTACTAGGATTTTAACGTTTAGAAAAGTTTTGAGCTTATCACTAGAATGCTTACTGTGAATCAGAAGTACCCAATGTTGACAGAAAATGCAAGAACAGTTCCAATATAGAACATTTGCTTATCTGAAGTTCCTTCTGTCTAGGTTTTGAATCCTACTTAAAGGTCCACTAGAGATGAAGCAATGAAACTGTTAAAGAAACGAGATCTTTCTTCTTCCCTTCTAGGTGATCTGAGAATAAAGAAATGGTTAAATCTGAGGCATTATTGGGGGAGATGGAGCAATAAACTGGTGTTCATTCAGACCAGTGGTTCATGCTGCTGGCGTAGAAATAGTGTCATAAGTTTGACCAGCAGATAAAGTAGACACATTACAAAGTCCAGGGTTTTAGTAAATTTGGCACAAGACACTCTGATTAAGATGTATAGATTTTGCCATATTTTAACCAAAATGTGCAAAGTTCTGTTTGCCTCTTCCACTCTTTGAGTCTCTTCCTTTTTGCATAAAATGGGAACAAGCCAGACTATCCTCTAGATCTTTGTTTTCGTGCAATCATATATGCTGTGATGTTCTGGGATGTTCGCCAATTGAAGTTGCACTCTAGCTGTTCCTATGATTGATATATACCAGAAAAATAGATTATATTCAAAAGATTGCATTTTTTATTGAACTTTAGTCCATGTAACTGTGTCGTAATCATATTGGATAAAATATATGTAGGGTACTAACTTTTGGTATATGAACTAAAAAAGTAGTTCCTTATTTTACGTTATATTTTCTTCACAGCATATCCCCATATCTAGATGTGCTTGTCCTTCCAAGAGACCAAAGCACAACTCTTGAGCCCGCGACAACAGTTTTCAGTGACAACTTCGGGTCTTTATGTACCAAACAATAGTTTAAGAAATTAAAAACACGGGGTGTGTTCTCTAAAATCTTATTGGTGATGAAGTAATCGAAACAACTTCATAGAACTGATTAACTTCCAGTTTAAGGAGTTCTAAGCTATATTTACACTTATAGATTCAGCATTATTTTTGCTTTATTAAGCTGTAAATCCTATTTTAAATTCTATCTTAGTTTTATGGGTGTGTGTCTAGAATTCATGTTCTGGTGTTAAATTCTGTTAAAACAGATTTTGCATTATTTTTAAGAATAAAAAATTGATATTGCATTATTTCTGAATTTACTTCTTATGCTTCTTCCAGTATCTTTTTTGTTGATTCTGCTATGTAGAGAGTGACATATATAATACATGATATAGTGTTTTAATGGTGTCAGTGACTCAGTTCCACTTATTATCTTCGTGTGTCTCCATGTCATACCTATACAGATATGACAGTCAAACCCGTATCCTTGCTATGTAGTGGATACTTATGGACTTCAATATTTCTTTCAGGATTTGGATCCAAAAGCTTCTTCAATTGAATATCGGTGCACAACCGCTGGTACATGTCTGTCTTGTTTGATAATAATTAAGTTCAAATATTGCTAACTTCTATGTGCATGCTAAATTTCTATTACAATATACAGTGATCGGACACCATTTAAAAAGGAACAGATCTATGAGCAGGTTTAGGTGCCGGAATTTGTTGGTGCCTTCTTTGATTGAGAATTGGAGAACTAGTCTGCATTACATCGGCTATCATTATGAAACCATGTCAATGGACAAACACTGCTTTTATCTGCTCAACCTATCAATTTGAAATGAATTTTGGCATCCCTCACTTTCATTCCTACATAATTGAAGTGGATTCTGATCAAAACTGTTGTATGTCATTGCCTTTTGCAAATTTTGTGTGGTTCTGATTTTTGAAATTATTGCCATTTAACTGTGTGAACCACAAGAGTGCTCAGTATTTGTTGGATCCTCAGATCATCATTGGTTAGCCTCTTTTTTCCTTATGGAGATTATGGAGGTCGGTAGTTGATCGGGATAGTGTGCTATTCATGATAATCAGCACAAGAGTTGTTAAAGCCGCAAACTCGCTGCATTCATTGACCTGTGTGGTTGGTTATGTCCTCACTGTGAATTTCACTTTCCAGCAGATGAATGCAGAGAAAACTCAATTGAAATGTCATGTACTTGGTCTACTATATTAAATTCTGTCTACTTTATCTATTTCTCTCCATGAATGCTTTCTTCAGTGTAATATAAAAAAAAACACTTATTACTCAAAAAGGATAAAATCGTCAAGCTTCAGAAAGACTTGAATTTAAAACAGATTGCGTATTCAATTATGGTATTTGAACTTGCAAAATTATTGGAGCTTGAGATCCTGGTGAAAGAAAAAAGGTATGCAATAATTATTTTGTGGCGATCTTAGTTGTTTGTGTCTCTGCTTTAAATTCTAAATTTTTTTTCTTTGTCGTTATGTTTGCTTTCCTGAAGAAATTATAAGTAGAAAAAGAAATGGACTTTGCCATGACGCCTGTACCTAATTAAATTCCAGAGCGGCTACTGAAAGTGTTTGAGCATTCAAGCTATTTGTTTTAGTTATATGGCAATTACTCTTATGTCACAAAGACACGGAAACATTAATGATTTGATGCTTGTGTATGTTGATAGTTTTTAATTATGTTGTATAACAACCTTGGCTGCTGAGATATGTCTTGAAACTGCAGGAAAAAAGATTTCGGTAACCTTATTTTAAAATCCTGTGTTTATCTGAATCTCAAGATTATTCTTCGAAAAATGACACTATTGAATGTTATGTCAACAGAAAACCTGGTCGAAGAACAGAGACAATTTGATGCTGTAATTTCTTTAGAGGTATGATTTAGTAAGTAATACCTAACTCTGTTCTAAGATATTTTAACTTCTTAATTGCAATCCGACAGTTTTAGTAAGCTGTACTTACATTATTTGTATCTTTTGCTTCGCAAGCTTTCACTATTAATTTGGAGTTTGCGCCGTACATTGAGTTAAGTCCTTGGTCTTTTGAGCAGATTTACACTTTTTTAGCTTTGTTGCACTTTCTCTAGTCTGATAATTGGAGGCTGTTAGAGTCAGACTGTGACATTTACTGATACGGATGGATTTATGTAATTTGATACTTGTACTATAATTAAATAAGATGAAGTTGATGGCGATCAAGCAGGTCAGATATAAACATTTGTATACACATCACACATGAACATATGAAACGAATAATGGAAATTAAAGTCCGTCTTTTTTTCGTGTGGGTGAGGGAAGTGGGTGCGGGAAGAGAATATTTGGGCCTGGTTTAAAGGTGATTGCAACTCCTTGTTTTTTCTTTTTAAAAGTCCATGTGCATGATCTTTTATTCTGCATTTTTATAGTTGGGTTTGGTTATTTTAATTTTTGTTTAAGCTGATAAACAAGCATATACTGGACTGGAGTAGTGTATAAGTAACCTCTTAAATGATTAAATGTAAATGACATGTTACAAAGCGATGGACATAATGAACATGAGCTAGGAAGTCTGAATGCTGAAGTGAAAATGCAACAGTTGGGTCAAAACCTCCCCTCTTCCGAGTTCCCAACTTTTGATCTGATCTCTACTAATATGTGAATCTTATTTTCGTCTTTGCGTAGGTGATTGAGCATGTAGCAGATCCTGCTGGATTCTGCAAGTCACTATCAGCATTGACAATCCCTGGTGGCGCTACAGTTATATCCACAATTAATCGTTCAATGAGAGCATATGCAACAACGATTGTTGCAGCAGAGTATCTCCTACAATGGGTACATATATTTAGTAATTTCTACTAAATTCTGGTCATTGTTGGTTTTATGTCTACACACATATGGATTGATTTCTTGCAAAACTTAAATGATCCCAAAATGTCCCATAGATATGCATATATGCTATTTGCCGGTGCACTTTAAAACTATGGATCCAGTTAAAGCAAAGGTGTTTTTGTATAGTTCTCTATGTATTTCTTCTTTTAGCTTAAATTGAACTTTCAATTTATGCGGATCATTTTTATGTTCTTGCTTTATCATACGTGTAAATGGAAACAATTCTGTTTAGCATGTTATGTCCTGGATTTAAAGATGATTATGCTTCAAGGTATGCCAATTACGTTCTGCTATTGAATTTGTTACGAGTCTTCTTGCTGATATATACTATTGTTATCTGTGCACGAGAGTTGCCATGTTAGCAGGAAAATTTCTGCTGATTATCTGTAGCAAGGAAATATGGAAAGTTGGTGCTCCTTGAGTATCAGCCCTGAGCCCTGCTTCCCACGTCTGTGTTTGTTTGTCGCCTTCTTGTATTTGCTTTCCTAGAGTTAGAAGAGACGAAGAGTTAAGATTGATTTTACCATTCCAAGAACATAATGGTTGTACATTGATCATATTGCTGCCAGCTTAACTTAACATATTCTAATAACCCTGAATGGACTTTGCAGCTTCCTAAAGGGACACATCAATGGTCAAGCTTTGTAACCCCAGAAGAACTAGTCCTTATTCTTCAACGTGCTTCTATAACTGTGAGTGGACTACCTGCCTTTCTGTTTTCAGCTAAATCATTATCAAACCCCATTTCTATGTTTTTGCGCCACTCTGAAATGGTAATCTTGTGCATTTATCAGGTGCAAGAGATGGCTGGATTTGTATACAACCCTTTGACAGGTCGCTGGTTTTTATCTGATGACATCAGTGTTAATTATATTGCTTTGGGAACAAAACCAGCCAATAGCGATGAAACTCTAGATTAAGTTGCAATAAAGTTGTCAATTTTATTCTGCTCTTATCTCTTAAGCCATCCTGTAATTGTATGTAATCTCTTTTTTCCACTTTGTTGGATGGTGAATGCAATGCCCATCTGTTCTCACATTTTTTGTTTTCCCTTGGAGGGTTTGAGCTATGTAATTTTTCTTTTTGAATATTCTGAATTACTAGCAGACATCATGGTATTGGGAAATACATCAAGTTATAGGCAAATTTCAAAACTGGAATAGTATAAGCAGACTAAAGTCTGGCCACTTCTCTTACTATTTTTCGAAGAAATCTTTTCTTATATAAATACAGTACCGTGAGCCTCGAAAAAGGGAGTGCATTCCAGACATCTCCATGCCAATTTCGCTGCTTTGTGCAACTCATGGCAAACTTCCTTCTATTGTAGGCGAAGCTTATGTTTTTTTTATTTGGTGTGTCTACGCATGTTTCCCCACAGATTGTTCCTTTCATCTTATTTATTTTATTCATCGAGCTAGTAGGGTAAGGATATTCGTCTATCAAGAATATGTATAGTCGGTCAGGGATGCAACTGCAATCAGAAGACAATAGCTAATGGGGTCATAGCTTGACCTCCCGTAGCAGGTTGAGAATCAAGTTAGTACAAGATCCATGTAAGTCCTGTGACGAGAATTTGTGGGGTTCAGACATTGGTATAGAATCACGAAAAGCTTTAAGACAGATTTTAAAGAACCTCGTTGTGAATTTTGTGGTACTATTTGGTTGCATCATACTTCTCCGCGATTTCTGTTTTTTTTATTCCCTTCCCCTTTGATCCCCCTTTTGTTGGAGCTACGACCCTGGGTTGTAGGTGGAGGGTGCTGATCATCTGAGCAATCCCGCAATTTCTGATTTGTAGTGAATGTTAGGGAAGTTTGAGATGATTTTTAGGTATACAAAGACGAGAAAACTTAATATTCAAATGCAATGTCTTAAAATGGATCTCGTCGTTTAATACCATGAAACAGACGTAACATAGACTTTTTTCTTTGTGAGACATACACCTCGTGCGTTTGGGCATGCTCTATACAGTTTCGTCTTGATGCATTGATGCAAGAAATTTCACGCTGACTTGTTCACCAGACATGCACGGACATACATTTCTGCATTGTACAAGTCAGCGTGAAATTTCTTAATTAGTTTTGGTGACTATAAAATAAACTTAAATTGGCCAACTCTCGACTCCTCAATACCCATAGTTTAATTACAGTACTAAGAGCTATTGCTTGACTAAATTACTTGTTGAGGAACATATAACACGTGGGTTATATAATGTAATTGTAACTTGTTTCACTTGGAGATAAACACATTTTTCTTTTGAAATTTGGTTACATCTCAGAGTAGAAAACAATATTGAAGGAATAGTCTTGGAGGAGAATTCTTTGTTTACTCATAAGGAGGTGATGTACACTCTGATAATATTATTTTTATATAATTTATGGTTTTTTTCTTATCAATATTTGTTTGATTTGTTAGGATGTTGTAATTGTTTAGTATCTTAAGGCATTTTTATACTGTTAGTACTAGGTTTGCATGCTTCTATAATATGTTAAATTTTCAACTGTTGAAAATATTTGTAACACATTTTCAACATTTTGAATTCTTTTACTACTTTATTAATTTATGAATAGTAAAATTTTAAAACTTAACAGTTAACAAGGCGTACCATGCATCGGGACGTATGCCATGCCTTGCCCTATATCAGGTAAAACATCTCGCATTGAGCCCCTCTTACACTATTCATATGAAACTAGTTTTATTTGGGATCTGTTTGGAAAACCACTAGATAATTAAAATTGATGTAATTACTAAGGTAGTAATTACGATCACCTATTTATTTGTCATAATGTAATTACAGTGTAATTACAAATATACTGTTTGGTTGCACACGTGTAATTACACAACTAGATTAAATTTAAAAGAAGTAATTATCAAAACTTAAAAGTTAATATAATAAATATATGCCTATAAATGATTTCTTATAAGTATAAATGATATTAAATTTGGTATTTAAGAAGCATATTTTTTCTTGAATATACATTAATTAGTAATCGTATATTTGTAACTAATATTGTAAAAATAATTGATATATATTTTCTAAATTAATAATATTTTATTTAATTAATTACAAAAACAAAAAACATAAGTTTTGTAAGAACATCATGGACTACATGTTTGATAAAATAAATTAATATTTATAAATATAATGTCATAACATTATTAAAATGTTTGACAAAACTAATCTATCAATTCTAATTAAAAAATAAATAACATGCAGTATGAAATAACAAGCCAATACTACAAAAACAAGTAATTTCAAACCATAAATATAACATAATTTCAAAATTCAAAATTCAAAAAAAAAACCAGTTGAACATATGTCAAATTCCAACATAATAAAAATAAGTTTCGATACAATTTAAGATTAGGAAACATAATAAGTTTATAATCTCATTCAATAACGAATTCTACTTTAATGACAACACTCATTATATGCCAAGTTTGTTAATGACTCATTAATTCTTATATTAGGAGGTGTAGTTTCAAAAACTAGAATAGTAACACAGTTACGCTAAATAAAGAAAATAAGAAATAAAATATACGAGCAACTACATTGCATCACAAGAAGTAAAGGTAGAGAAATAAAAGATAAATAATGTATAAAGAAAAATATATTTTAATTAAAAAAGAAATTAAAAAGTAAAAATAAAATAAAAAATTAAAATAATGAAAATAAAAAGTTATAAAAAAAATAAGTTAAAATATAAACAAAATGTAAAGAAATTAAAAAATAACCTTGTAATTACACAGTGTAATTACCACCAATTCTCACCTCCCCTTAGAATTGGAGAATGTAATTACACCTCTCCAATTACACCGAGTTTACATGCTGACCAAATAATTACTTGGCCAGACAAACATGCCAAATTGTGTAATTACACCCAATTACACCCAAATCCAATTCCTAAGTGGTTTTCCAAATAGGCTCTTGATGTTCTCACACTTCCAATTTCCTATTTTACAAGAAATCCAAAAGCACTATTTGCAAAAGATGTATGATCACTTTTAGCCCGCGCCAGAAACTATTTACATATGGTAGCCGAAAAAGTGTATAAAATTTGTATAATTTTTGTATATAATATACAGAATATATATATACAAAAAATATATATTTTTTATACATGTTTTCGGCTATTATTTTTACAGCGACTATACAATATCATTTTTACTTTGCAATACTATGGATTGAAAACAATGGAAAGTATACACTCAAGCCCGCAAAAGTTTTATGAAAAAATACAGAATTGCGCTTTGATGTTGCACAAAACAAAGTAATCATCATTTTCTTCAACAGCCGACTTTGATACTTTAAATGCCAGTGTAGAATCTCTCTTACCGCCTTGTAAATTTTGATCTCGAGGAAGAAGCCATAGAGGAAAAACCACCTGTTTTTTTTGCAGGGGAAATTTGGCTGAGAAAATTGAAAATTTAAAAAGAAGATTAGAGAATAATAGAATATAGTATGTTGAAGCATCAAAACTGTAAGTAGATCTTTACCTGTGGCTGTGATTTCTTTGCACAGCCTTATTCTTCATAGCTGCGAGATTCTTTACTTCTCGACTGTAAGAAACGGCAGAAACAGAATCAGCTACCTGAATAAAGAGGCTCTTTCAAAGAAGCGGAGCTAATTGAGCAACTCACACAAAAACATATACAAGTTACTAGAAATGTTAAGCTTCTTAACATAATTTTCCAATCAAACTGCATATAAGCTAAAGACCAAGAATATACATTCGACACACGCCCATGAAGATAGAGACCGTTGAGGACAAATTTAAGAACACAAACACAAACTCTGGGAAGGATATCCAATATGGAGTGGGGGAAAGAGTGCCTATAGTTGCATGAATACAATATCAGAACCATGTGTTCCAACGGAGGCCAAACTTACCTGTTGACAAACTCTATTTTTGCCTTCTTCATCAAGGTACTCTTTGTGTTGCAAAAACTGCTACCAGGTCCACTACCTACAAATTACCCTCTTTACTCAGGAACAAATACAGAAGTAACCTTTTTTTTTTTTTGATTTGCACCGGGTGTCCAAGTCTCTTTGAGCCCCGACTAATCCCGGGGGTGCACAGGCCCTCGGCAAGGAGTTTCCCGCAAGTGCACCACGGTTAATTCAGGTTTTACCCAGTCCGATGGCCCTCAGAAATTGTTTGCACCCAGTGGGTTTCGAACTTGAGACCTTGAAAGGGAGCAAACCCCAAGGCTCAAGTCAATTGCCACCAGGCCAACCCCTGAGGGTTTAGAGAAGTAACCTTGTTACCTTGTAAGGTGTATCTTATGACAAAATACCATACATTCTCCAATAAACATTACGTATTGACTTTGACAATGAAAAGGGATCAGAAGAAAACATGAACGTACCCCAAAAGCTTCTTTTATTGCTAGAAGGTGGAACCTTTGTGCAGACTCGAACTTGTCGGCTTTGCCGTTCTACAAAGACAAAAGAGACCGTCCGACTATAAGCCAAATATAATGGTAAACTTATACCACATCTCCACTACAAGAGAAATAAACTAAACAAGTTTCAAGAACTAGATATAGTCAGATGTGATCACGACACAACCTATCACCATAATAACCAAATTAAAATTTCTGAGGAGGATTTGCTTAAATACTCTTGAGCTGGTATGGAATTTTGTAATTTATTCTTAAAAGTACTAGGAGAGGATGGTAATACTTACTGGGAAAACAAATCAAAGAACAAAGAAAACAGAAGTAAAGCACATACTTGCATCTTCCTTTTGATACAATTCCTTGATTCTTTCGAATGACCTTTGTTGAGTCTCCTCCACTTCTTTTGACTTTGCCTGCAAGTAAATTTATACCCTTTTGTAAATGTTGAATGATTTGGTAATCACAATAAGAAAAAGACATGATCTAATACTAAACATACTGACATACATCAAAATAAAGGAGTAAAAGCATGGAATGGGAGAACAAGATATGAAACGATAAATCACCTCATACAACAGTTTCCATTTAAATATTACTTTCTTTTGCTTCATTCTCTCGACCACCTGATTGGTGCTCTTCTCACCGAACTGAATCTGGTAGAACCTCTTCCAAAGTCTATCCGTCACTTGACTGAGATCTCTTCCCTGAAAGAAGAATTCAAAAGTTAAAATTTTTAGCCTGCTCTGGAACACTGTAAGAGGATAACCTAAACATAGAGTTTCTTACTTGTGTTGAATTCTCCACATGTATTAACTGTTCAAGAGTACAGTGAGGCAAAATGCGCTCTAGTAGATGAGAATCTGTTTCACCAACATCCCCTAGGTATCTGACATTATCTATAGCTGTCTGAACACATAAATCTACCAGTGAAGGAATCATACGCCTCATTGTTATACGTTGTTTATGCCGACTATTTGCTCCAATCTATTCTGGCCACTTACACCTTCACAGGAAAAGCTAATCAGCAGCAAGAAAAAATTGGCCGAATATAATCCAAATTTAGAAACATTTAGTATATCCAATAGTAAGCCAGGCAAACAACAATTTCCTGCTTTGAGGCCTCTAACCTTCTGCACCTTTCTTGCTGTACTCCAAAAAATACTTTTTGCACATATATAGTTGAATTTTCTTGTTTCACGTTACAGGTTATGAAAAGTTACAAAATGATGCTTGAGTATATTCCTTACTACATAATTCCACACATGTCGAAATTTAAGCAACTCTCAGTAATGTAACACAGCTCTGACTCCACTTAAAAAATTATTGCTTTAGGAAATACTAGAAAAGACTCAAAATAGTCCCTCTTTACCAGTTTATTTGATCATGTTTCCTTTTTGGTCCGTTCCAAAAAAATGACCCTTTCTATATTTGAAAACAATTTACCCTTGATGAGAAGTTTTTCTAGCCACACACAGGGGCAGATCCAGCCCTTCGATACCGGGTTCAACTGAACCCAGTACTTTTATCGCGGAGTACAAATTTATGTGTAAAATTTATTACAATTGCAACAAATAGTAATGTGACCCATAACTTTAAAAAGATAATTGATTAAATGCTAAAAACCTTAAGAGTTGAACCCATAGAGTTTAAATCCTGAATCCGCCTCTCGCCACACATATGGACACATAAGCTTCAAAAAGTCTTTCTTTCTTTCTTAAACTCATTCAGTCAAATAGTTCACATAATTGACATGGAGAGAGTAAAATTTTCAGAAATTTAGAATTTGTGGATTATACATAAAGCAATGATCTAAGGCGTCGATTAATCCTACAGTAACCGACCGGAAGATTATAAGTCAACGGTAATCACAATTAACAGATCAAATCAACTGGATCATTGAATTCCACAAAGCTGTAGGCATAATATTGAAGTTGCAAATCAAATAAACGTGAATTAAGCATAAGAACTTCAGGTATATAAATTTACGGATCGAATTATAAAATTATTACTGAAAACAGGATCTAAAAGAGAACTGACTCACCGGCACGTGATCGGAGCTGAAATTCGGCCGACGGACTCCGACAAAAAAAATCTGAAATCTGAACTTGAGAAAAAGGAATTTGAATTGCAATATGATTTTTACAAACTTCTATGCATTGGAGGATTCATGAAAAATACTGAAAATACAAGAATTGATCGACTGATGGAAGAAGACGAATACGCCGATGAGAGGTTTGGTTGGTATATCCCTAAAGTAATATCGAAAGCGTTGGAGCACGTGTTCCTACGCGCTGTGGCTGGCAGGTAAATATGGGGCCTTCGAATTTGGATTGAAAAATTCGGGCCCAAATTAGTGAAAAAACAGTCTCCAGATGGGCTTTGGAAGAAAAGAAGTGGACTCCTTGTGTGATTGGCTTACAGCTGAAAGTAGTCCGCTAATTTTCGGATTGGTAATAAAAAACTTTTATTGAAACATGTTCCACCATACTGAATTATGGAGGTAATATTGATTCCAGCACATTATATCGTCCAGTTTTAAACTTATATTGTAACTCCTAACATATTATATTATGAAATTCAAGACCAGAGCACTTCGTTAACTCCGCCATTGCAGCACGATATATAAGTTTCTCATAGTATAAATCGTCTCCCTTGTCCCAAATGCATGCATTCCTCCGCCAATATCAACACCATCCACTGAGTCGACTCGCTCTTCCATCAACTCGGTCACTCACTCACTCCATCTCCACAATGAGCTCATCCTCCTCCTTGCTTCTTCCTTCCATTTCTCTCCATAACCGCGACCCGCTCTCCCTCTCCACCTTGAATTGCTTCGTTTCAAGCAATGGCACCCGAAGATTTAGCCCTATACATTTGGATAAGTCTAGGGTTTTCATGAGCGTTTCCGTTGGATCTCGAACTGCCGTCGATGATGCCTTGTTCGCTGACTTTAAGCCCACCAATGCTTTTCTCTTCCCTGGACAGGTCTCAATTTCTTTTGTATTCTTACATTTCTCGTACTGGATTTGATTGAGAAGAAGAAAAATGTCTGTGTTGTATAATTGCATCTACTGGTTTGAAGATTGGTTGAAAATTTGCTAGCTCTTGTGATGATTTTAGGTGCCTTTCATGCCTAATTCTGTAGTTCACTAGTCTAATTACTTGATTAGCATTTGTTGCAGAATCGAAATGATGATAATTACTCCCTCTCTTTTTTTCAACATGATAATTACTCCTTTGTCTCATATTAGCTATCGCACTTTACTTTTTAGTTTGTCCCAAAAAGAGTGACAATTTTCTATATTTAGGAACAATCGTCATTTTACCATTAATGTCTTAGACGTGTTTTAGACCCCAAGTTTCAAGAGCCTTTCTTTATTTTTTAAGTCAAACAATGTCATACAAATAGGGACGGAAACAGCACTTGATAAGTATTTCGTCTCTTCTTTATCTTACATTTCTGCTACTTGATTAGATTTTGAATGGAAAAAGGAAAGTCTATGTTGTACAATTGCTTTACTTCTTCAAGTGATTTGAAGTTAGATTGAAAGTTTGCTAGCTTTGAGATCATTTTGTGTGGAATTTATGTTAATTCTATATTCAGTTGTCTAGTCACTTGATTGGTACTTCTTGCTGATTTAAATGACGATAATTATTTGATAAATTTTCTCTCTCTTCATCTTAAATACGTTGTATAACTGCTTTGTTGCATCAACTGATTTTTGAAAATATGTTGGAAAATTTGCTTGCTTTAAATTCATTTTATGTGTGATTTGTGCTAATTCATTTTGTCTAGTTACTTGATTAGAATTCTTGCTGAATCAAAATGATCATAATCACTTGATGAGTATTTGTCCCTAAGAATGCTTGAATAATGTTTTCTTCAGCACGGTGTAATGTAACCAGAGAAAGGCAGATATTGACTGAAGCTAGGAATATTATCATGTTAGTATTTCCAGATAATATGCAGTAAATTACTGCCATCATGCTTCAACTTTGACCAGGTTCAATTACTCTGTCTACCTTCAAGCAGCTATAGTTTAAACCTATCTGCCCATTGTTAATTTAGTGGATATCGGGTCTCTGGTTAAGTAGCTCTTGGTCATTACTGTAGATGGCTAATTTCTAGAACAGTCATGTCACTAAGATCACAATTATCCGATTAGTGGAGCTTCCGTAAGTTCGTAGCAAACTATTTTATCTGCACTATATTCTGCAGGGGGCACAATCTGTTGGAATGGGTGCAGAGGCTCAGAAGGTGCCTGCTGCAGCTGAATTATACAAGAGAGCAAATGAAATTATGGGGTAAATACATTGGTTCAAGTCTCCTAAAATGCTTTAGTCAACATTCTCAGAAGGTTGCTTTATCGCATAAGTGCATCTGCAATTAATCTTTTTTTTTTTCTAAAAAAATCTTCATATTGTGTTTTTCTAATATTCAGGGTTAATGATGTATTGATTGATACAAACAACAATGACTACACCTCAGTCCCAAACAAGTCGGGAGGTCGGGGTCGACTATCCGAATCCTCATTGACCATGTTACTCAATTTAAACTCATCTCAGGCCAATATTACATAAAGTAAAAATAAAAATAAAGACAAAAAGTACTAGAAGTTCTTTATATTTTCTATGACGTATAAATCTCTAAAAGGCTAAACAATTCCTAGAAAAGCATAGGCATAAAGTAAAAGTTCTAACATAACCAAACATATTCTCAACTACAAGGTATGTCCTATATAGATCTTTTTCTTTCCTTGTGTCTTATCTTTTGGTAAGTCTGCATGGATCCCAAGAAATTATAGGTCCTTCGGTACAACTTCCTTCCAAGTGATTTTAGGTCTACCTCATACCCTTTTAACACTTCCACTCACCAAGAAATTATAGGTCCTTCGGTACAACTTTCTTCCGAGTGATTTTAGGTCTACCTCATACCCTTTTAACACTTCCACTCACCAATGATTTCACATTTACTGGACGGTGTATCTGGTGGTGACGCAGGACATGACCATACCTTGTCAAGCGACCTCTCATTTTATCCTCGATGTGTACTACTTGAACCTTCTTGAAAATGTGGTCATTTCTAACTTTCTCTAGTCTAGATGTATTCATTGATATTCAAGCATTTTATTTTAATATTCCTTTATTCTTGGTTTACAGGTTTGACCTTTTGGATATATGTATTAATGGTCCAAAAGAGAAGTTAGACTCCACTGTTTTAAGTCAGGTATTCTTTCATTAATCATTTCCTCATTTTCCTTTTGTGTTGCTCCACATATCCTGTTTGGTATTGAGGTTTTATAAAATGACTTCCTAATAGTTACAACATATTGATTCCCTAAACAATATGCTGAAAAGGAAAAGTAGAAGGCTTCTGTAATGTATGCACATTTTGCTGTTAATGCATGCCTTTGTTTTTTTGCTTTGCTCTTCTCAGAGATGATTTTATGGATCATCTTTGTGATGACAATAGGATATAACTTTAACATCAATTTTTGACTCGCTCATAACTTACTTATTCCCAGCCAGCGATCTATGTCACTAGCTTAGCTGCAGTAGAGATACTCCGTGCTCGTGAGGGCGGTCAGCAAATAATTGATTCTGTTGATGTCACATGTGGTCTAAGCTTGGGCGAATACACTGCTCTGGCGTTTGCGGGAGCTTTCAGGTTGCTACCCTGCATAACCTCATGGAAAGACATACATTAGGTGTTGCTTATGTATTAGATGTTACTTTTTATCCTTTAGTGTTTACCACTCTTTAAAAGGCATGTACTTAAATTTCATTATTGTCCCCATTAATCTATTGCCTCTGCCAGTTTCGAGGATGGGCTTAAGCTGGTCAAGCTAAGAGGAGAAGCTATGCAGGTAATGTTCAACAATCCAATGATAAAAAAAATATATATCTTGCATGGAACTCTAAAAATATCTACTCTTTCCCTTACCTTCAGGACGCTGCTGATGCTGCAAAAAGTGCAATGGTTAGTATAATTGGACTGGACTCCGAGAAGGTACAAAAACTGTGTGATGCAGCTAATGAGGAAGTTGATGAAGCAAACAAAGTTCAGATTGCAAATTTCTTGTGCACTGTGAGTTTTTTCAAATGCTCTGTAACCAGACTAAATTCCATATTTATTATACATTTTGCAATATTGCACCTGGCTAAGCATTTTCCAGTTTTGTTGTTGACATTGTATATTTTGTAGGGAAATTATGCAGTCTCCGGAGGTCTTAAAGGAGTGGAAGTGGTAGAAGCAAAAGCAAAATCATTCAAAGCTCGAATGACGGTATTTCCTATCTCCAAATCCTGTGGTTTTGGCTGCCAACTGCCAATGGTGTTCACATCTTAACGTTGGATTTTGATTGTTCCAGGTACGTCTAGCTGTTGCTGGTGCTTTCCATACAAGTTTTATGAATCCAGCTGTCTCAAGACTAGAAGCTGCTCTAGGTGCAACAGAGATCAGAACTCCCAGAATACCAGTAATATCAAATGTTGATGCGCAACCACATGCAGATCCAGACACAATTAAGAAAATATTAGCTTGCCAGGTAAGGACACAAACAGTATATCCACAGCATTAAGTTAATTAATTATGGATGGACACAATCTGCGAATGTTGATTTGCCGTGTTTGAGTTATGCAGGTGACTTCACCAGTTCAATGGGAGACCACAGTGAAAACCCTCCTAACAAAAGGGCTAAAGAAGAGCTATGAATTAGGACCTGGAAAGGTGAGACTCATAACACTCAGAAATCTTCAGTTAACTGCTATACCTGATTAGGCGACTTTGATTTAAAAATCACTATGGTCAGAGAGGCAGCTTATGGCTTTATAACCTATAGTCTCATTGCTTCAGCAAGTGCTTGTTTTGGAATCCTATGTTTCAGGTTATTGCCGGTATTGTGAAGAGGATGGACAAAGGTGCTGTGATTGAGAACATTGGCGCCTGAGCTTTGCATTAAGGACATCATCCGTGCTTATTCTTTGAGTCGAGCTTCAGTTGTTGAATGTTAATGGCAGTATGGGCTTTCGATAGATATTGATGCGGTGAAACCGTACATATTCTATGCAAGTGTTATTGTTAAATCAGTGTTTATGGTTTCCCTGGTAATTTTTCTTTCTTTCACTTAAAGTGAATCTGGGCAGAGAAGTAAGCTCAGCAGACCATGAGATAGTATTACCTTTTCCGAGTGAGAATAGAATAATTAAATTCATTGTGCTTTGTGCTGACGATTTGGAAGTTTACAAGCGCAAGATAGCTAAAACTGCATCTGAGGCAGATTGATCAAAAACTATAAGGCCCTGCTTATACTACAAACAAATTCCGCTCATCAGTGCTCCTAATTTAAAATATATATATATATATATATATATATATATATATATATATCGAAATGGACCTCACAGAATGTATTCCGTCATTTTTCCACAGATGGAAACTGTACCAGACTAAGTTCGTTAATAGTTACCAATTTATACTAAAGTAGTACTAATATTTTAAAATCTTTTTTTATAGGTTAATCTTGACAAAGATCATTCTGTTGTTTAATTGCAAGTAAAAGAAAGTTCCAAATGTTGAGAGCTGCACACAAATAGAGAATTCAATACACGAGTCAAATATTGCATCAAATGGCAATTTATCCAGCAAAAGGACGAGCAAGTGGTGGAAAACATAAAGTACTCACTGAAAAGTCGAACGAAGTTAGCGACAATAACTAGCACACGCAGATCAGCCGCTATAGCAAATGAATATAGACCAGTGACAAGTACTATTAAAATTTCTTTCTTCCTAACAACTGCGTTCCAGAAACAACGAGAAGATATTGTTAATATTCCTATGAATGGATTTTAGTTTATAAAACCAAAAATGATCGACTCAAGGTTGAACAAACACCATGTTATCAGGTATACTGATTACGATCAATGTTTGTTGGTACGTTTTTCTTTATACCAATGTAATTTTGAAATGACTACTTCTTTCAATTGATATTGTCGATGTGGTTGGTTTTCTATCTGGTATCGGTGACATAGAGAGTGTTGGATGCAAGTGGAAAAAAAGGGACATCCAAGTTATAACTGATTAGTAAGCCACTTATCTCATTTGAAGGAGTGAAAACGGACTATCTATTTGTTGTTAAGCTTATCAAAGAAGATGACATACAATATCATGATCTTAGGGCTAGATTGCAGATACAATGGTTTGAAGCCAAAAAGAAAAATATCATACACATCTACAAACAAATATGCAGACTTTCTCGCAAATGAAGATCATAGACATAAACAAGATCTACTAGTATGAGAAGAGGCGAAAAAAGAGGTGGAGTTTTTGATTCTGGTAGATTTAAGCAATGTAACTTGCATAAGATTTTAATATTTCTATTTAGTATTTTCTACCGTATCAAAAAAGAAAAAAAGTAGAACTATAAATGATGATGTCCAAAATTATCATCGGCAATTATTAGGATGAGGTTGGCACTTGGTAGTAGTAAGCGGCCCCTCTCATATTACAGTGGTGAACCTATCTTAAGGTCCTTTGCCAATAATCATGCAATATTTAATGTTCAAATTAGTAAACCATATTCGTAAAACATATCCAACATATTCTTTTTGGAATTTCAAAACAGGAATAATATTTCTTATGAATTCCTTTCTTAGTGATTCAGCCTTCTATCTTACAAAAGATAAAGAGCTGCTTTATATGTCACTTCAGTAAGGTTTAGATTAGATGTTCAACTCATTTCATCAATTCGTTTCGCAATTCAAATAAATTCGTTTGCCTATTTGTTGTACGATTTTCGTTAACACTTTGATCTAAATAAAGGCCTCTTTAGTTTCTTAAATTATGTTCATTACCATGACATAGTAAAGATTCTATTAGTAGTTGTTTAAGACTGGTATGAAGATTCAAGCTGCAGCTCTTTGGATAAAGTAATGATTCATTCTACATTTAAATGTTCATATGTACACTTACATGTGTTAACGGACATTTTGTTTACTTATTAGATAGTACAGAAGATTCAACTCTTTGAAGTATACCATTTTCTTCTCCATCTCCAATTGAGATAGTGGAATCAGTACGCGTACCATCAGTTGACAGGCTTTGAGTTTGCCAGAAGTGACTTCTCATCGATCTGAATCCTGAACCGGTTGTTGAAATCCCTGGATCAGAAAGGACATCTTGAACGAGAGTTTGGCCTTCGAGCATGCTTACCACTTGAGACATTGTTGGTCTAAGTGTTGGAGATGCATTAGTGCATGAAAGTGCAACATTTAGTACCACCATTGCTTCTTGTGTTGAGTAGTTGGAACATAAGTCTGGATCAACCAATTCCAATATACTCCCGCGCTCTTGCATAACATAAGCCTAACCCAAACAGATCAAAATAAATAACAGTTAATGTACTGGGAAAATATGACATGCTAAGCAAATTTTGAGAAGTTCTTTGATTCTGAACGTTCAAGTTGATGTAGGGAACAATAATAATATGCCATTACTCAGTTTTAATTAAGTTGAAAGTAGAAGGGGAAGTCCTTTTTAAGGATGATGGAAGCAAAAATACTCAATCTTAAGAGGGAAAATACAGTTACCCAATCAAGAAGATAAACACAATCTTCCGCTGGCCTATAATTTGTATTGCTTTTCCCACTAACAATCTCCAATGCAACAACTCCATAGCTGTAAATATCTGCTTTACTAGTTAAGTAGCCGCGCATTGCATATTCTGGAGCCATGTAACCCCTGTATCATCAAATAACCGAAGAAGTTACAACACATCAGATCTTGGTTTCCTTGCCATTAATATAGTTACTTGCTAATTTACAGAGAATTCTGACATTAAACAATCTCCTCAGTTCTTAATATTTGAAGTAGCAATAAGATAGCTAGTGTTTTTTTAAGTTCACTAATAGCTCTTTTGAAATCCAAAATGGGAATTACAATTAAAGTAAGTAGGATGTCATGGTGCTAAAAATTAGTAAACCAAGGAGTTACATGGCAGGGAAAGAGAGGTGGAGGTATATGATATAATGGCGGTTTAATATCTAGAAAAAAGCTATATTTCTCTAGGTAACTAATAAGTTTTTGGCTTTCTTTGCTTTTTAGGAGATTATACCTGCAAAAATGTTGTGTGATGAGAACAGTACCATGATTTTTTCAAAATACATGAGAGGATTAAATGTCAAACCATTTTCTCTGAATCGTATCAACCAAAGGTCGTTCTAATGGTATTGGAACAAGAGGAACTAGTTTCATCATACTTACACAGTTCCTGCAATCCGCGTACTAATATGGGTATTATCATCCTCATGTAGCTTTGCCAAGCCAAAATCGGATATTTTAGGATTGAAGTCCTTGTCAAGCAAAATATTACTGGTCTTGATATCTCTGTGGACTATCTTCATGCTTGACTCCTCGTGAAGGTATGCTAAACCTCTTGCAATTCCTAGGCAAATTTTCCTTCGTGTCGGCCAGTCTAATTTCATTTTGCAGATTGGGCCTTTGCCTAATGTAAGAGAAAGAAAAATAAGAATAAATCAGCTCAGTAAGATAAACAATGTCAAGTGCATAAGCAGCAGACATGTTTTTGTTTGTGAGAGTAAGGAAGTATTTACCAAAAAGAGCACGAGATACACAGTTATTTTCCATGTACTCGTACACTAGCAATAGTTGATTTCCTTGAATGCAACATCCATAAAGCTTCACGAGATTCGGATGTTGTACTGCAGATATCATGCCTACTTCATTCAAAAATTCTCTAGTTCCTTGTTTTGACTTTGAAGAAAGTTGCTTCACTGCGATTACTGTTCCATCAGATAATAGACCCTGTATAAAAGAATCATGATTCAAAACTCAGTTCACAGTTGAGCAGCTTATGGTCAACTTAAGCTAGCAAGATGACTATAGATTGAATCCTATATTGCATAGCCGTGACATGCTAATTTTACTGGAGATAGTACACCTTGGTTGATCTAATATGCTGTGGGAGAGATGATTACCTTATAAACTGAGCCAAAACCACCTTCCCCTATCTTGTTTTCTGGGTCAAAATTCTTTGTCGCGGCTTTAATCTGTCTGAGAGTAAATAGTCCAGCTTGTAGATCCAGTCCTTGAAGTTCTGTTCAAAGAGGAAAAGTATCTCAGTGGGAGCTAATGGCTATAACACTACTGCGTTTCTTTCGAGGTTCATATAGGACCTGGTCAAGTTCTTCAGACCATTAATGATTTTGAAAGCCTAAATTGATTGATGAGATGAACGAGTCAAAAGAATGTAAAGAATAACTTCAAGTATATAAGGTGATATACTTTGGTAAGAAGTAAAATAATAGCTAGAACTATTCATATAGCTTAGCGTTTAACTTAAGATATTGTACAAAAGCATTATATTCTTTGTTGTGTGTGCCAGTAGGTGCATGTCTGGGTGTCTAGCCATCACATGTACCCATCCATATTTATTTTGGTTGTGTACCCAAGAACAGCCAATTGTAGTTGGAAAGTATCTGGAAACAAGATAAACAACCACTGAACTCAAAATCATTTCATAAACAAAGTTAACAGGATTATGGTCAAATTATCAAAGGAGGAGAACGGAGGAGAGTTGCGGTAGGTTAACAGTCTATAAAAGAAGGTTGTAGTCAAATGATTTAATATGAATGACATGCCCGGTACAAAGAAGACCAAAGAAGATTTTTGTTAACCCTCCAATAGGAAGGTCAAATAAAACGGGATGTAAATGATATTATGGTAGAACTTTCAAAAGTAAAATTCCAATAGTTATTTACCTTTATCAGCAGATACTTTTTCTCCAAGACAACCTCTCTTATATAAGATACCAATGATCAGAAGGAAAACAAACACCGATCCAGCTATTGCCCCGGCCAATATGCCAACATGAATTTTACTCCGTTGAGCGGCAGGCAAAGGAGGTGTAAAATCTGCATGGAGAAGGAAAAAGAATGTGACATCTCAAGACTTTTGATAATTTTGGCAAGCCAGTCTGACTTGCATATGCAATTTGAAACACTTTTCTAGTAAATCGTAGTATAAATCCGGATGCTTCCACTACCAAACAAGATTAAGGAACTGAATTGGGGACGTATAAGAGGCCCCCTCACTGTACTCAAAATGCATCATGCAAACTAAGGGTATATGACAACCTTTTTTAGGTTCCAGTGTAAATACACTAACATATGACAATTAGATGGTTACAGACCCTTAAAATGATAAGCCTTGTGCTCTCTAATAACAAAGCACATAACAACCTGAAATTTTACCAGTGTGTGAATTGGTTATTCCATTCAAAACAACCTAAAAACCTTTTATAAGCCTTGATATATGCCCCCTATGGCATTCAGTAAATAGGATTCATATATGCAACTATGAGTAAGATAACTGTAAACTTGAAGAGAGTAAAGGTACATACTAGGATCCACTGATATAGCAGAAATTAGAGGACCATAAACCCCTCTAACGGGAATTCCTGTAGTCCCCTTTCCTGCCCAGTAAAAATGGATCTTCAGCGTGTGGCTTGTCACAGCTGCAGTGAAAGTTTTCACAATGGGCTGCCCCGGCCCACCAGCTTCTTTTGCAATGTTAAAATCCTTCAACACCAAATTTTCCTGTCTCAAGAAGACAGAATAAATACACTGGTAACAGCAAACATGAAATTCATACTCATTCTTTTTCCCGTCTATGAAATTTACCTGCAAGTACACATCAAATATCCGTTCTCCAAGACTGTTGAATGAAGTGTCATTTGTGAATATTATCTCCGCAAAATGGAGCTTGACAGTATAGTTTCCATTCATTAGACACTGTCCATAATATGTGAGGGAGAGGGGAGATGCACGTGCAGTTTTGTATAGTTCAACTTCTGGAGCCTTGACATTAAGCAGGGCAGAGACATTGGTATCGATATAGACATCAGAATCAACGTCATTGTCCATGAAATTTCCTGTGCTGCTAAATGCCCAGTTATGTCTTGAATAATACATAGAAGCACCTCTGGCTTCTAAATCAGCTTCATATGTTTTGCGGCTTGTACCATTCTTGATCGATACTTCCTTGCCTCCACAATTGATGTACAAAGAATACTGTTCTGCTCACCAGTAAACAATGGAATTCTTAATGAAAGTTCAGCAGAAAATCATATGGACAGATCAGAAGACAGTAATACGGTTATTGGATTCTCAGTATTAGAATTCCTGAATTTATGTTACTGGATATCGCTATGATTAGTTCCCTTATTTTTTCATATGCCTAAGTAGATAAATTGTAAGCAAATGGAAAGTTATTATACATAGATCTTTTTCAATTCAGAAAAGAAGATACTTCTCTATCGATCCAACAGCCATAAGCTTTCGTCTTTCAGCATGCTAGTCAAATTTGTGTAAAACTCATAAATGACAATGTTGTTTCACTTTTGTATTTTCTACCAACAGCTGACCTCACACTACAAGTCCACCTATTTATCTGACAGGAGACAAAGGTTTTGTTCTGCTATCAATCAGGTAATGAACTCGTAAAACTCTACTTACGCTTATTTGTTGGTTCTGAACAAGGGAAATCATGCTTCAGGCAAGGATGAACTTTGTTTCTGTTATACAGAAGACACAACAAAAAAGTCGTTAGTGTGCTTAGAAAAGTTCTATATCATATAGCAAATGTTATAGGAAAACTCGAGAAAACAATAGTTTCCTCTGAAGGATCACTGCAACAGAAAAATGAGACATAGGCACATTGGTCTTACGATTCTTGTCCCAACGCAGAATAGCTCTCCACCAAGTTTCTGGATAAATTGTTTTATTGTTAGAAATTACTGCAAACAAATAAGTCAGATGAAGAATAACCAATTTTATCAGATAACTTACACGCTTCCACGCGGGCATTCAATAGGTGCTGTGGTTTCCCATGTAAAATTGTTATACGAAACGTCTCTGTGAGGCAAACAAACGACCAAATTAAAACGAAAGTTTAGGAAGTCGACAATAATAACAATAATAACAATAATAACCTCTTCCTCGATCGGTTTTGAAGCTTGGCAATAATCTATTCTATCTTTTATTTTTTTTTGCGGTTCTTCTTTGGCAATGATATACTCAATATAAGCCACTATTTGCACAAAAGGGATGCAGGTCATAAACAAATTTTTATTCAGCAATTGCCAACTGATTGCAAGTTTATAGGAATTAAGTTGAGAAAACAGCATACACATTCTTATTTCTTGATAATATCCACTCAGGAACAGGTCCAGTAAGTTTGTTTCCTGTCAAATACCTGCAAAGTACCAGAAGAATAAAAGAAGAGAAAAATGTAAGAATTACATTGATAAGCATATGGCTAGAAAGAAACAAGGATATCTGAAGAATATCCACTTACATAAAATCTACTTTGGATAGGTGTAGAAAAGATGACGGGATCTCACCAGACAAGCTGTTAAAACTAAGGTCCCTAAATTCACAAAGCAAATAATAGTAAGTTCCATTGCAAAACAAATCTCAGCTGAAAATTTTCATAATCATAACGAATGTGTATATAGCATGAAAACAGATAGACATTTTTCTTTCCCTGAAGATACAAATCAAAAGATACTGTCAGAGTTAAATTAAAAGGCCACAGTCATTATTTTGTGCACCTCATTCAATTTTTGTAAGACTTTCATGGAACAAAATATAGAATAACTCATCGGTTCAAAGGAGGAAAAGATACTTCCTTCATTTCAGATGTATAATCATCAATAGAAAAGTTGTCAGTGTAACAATATCCTAATAGTTAGACATTCAAGATACTCCGCTACCCCAGTCCATTTCCTGGAAAATATCATCTTTGATTGCCGTTATTAATTTTTGACTAATCACAACATGTTTCCTCCATACACAGAACAGTGAGGTTTGGTATCTTCAGCATTTGCCTCTTCAGGGCACTGCCAGAAAGAACCCCCTTCCCCAAAGTAAAGGTTTCAATAAACAGGAGAACTCAATCGAAAAAGAATTATTGAAATTCTTAAAACTTACAGTGTCTTTAATTTCTTCATGTCCCCTATATATTCAGGAATCTCACCATGAATTAAGCACTTCCTTAGTATTCTGCATTGCGCAAGAGCAATTAAGAATCTTTGATCGAAAATCTTTCCAAATTCTTGAAATGGAATGCCCTCCAATCAGTCCATTAGAGGAAGAGGAAGTAAAGAAACTCACAGTACTTTCATGGATTCTAGATTATCTAATGGTGGAAAACCAGATTTTCCACTTTTTAGGTCACTGATCCTTCTAAAATTCATCACAGAAAAAAAGAATTAGTTAGTTTACTTCTTAAAGAAACCACAGCTGAACAGGAGTTTCACATTGACTTACAAATCAATTAAGCTTGTAAGGGAAGATATAGCAGAAGGGATAGGACCCTCAAGAGAACAGCCTTGTATATGCCTGCAAAAATTAGAGTAACATTGAAGGTTCATGAGATCAAAGCAACAACTGAAATATGCAGGAAAATTTGGAGTTTTGCCTTCTAATATTCTTGAGAAACTAGAAACTAGAGTTCATCTACTGAGTAGTAGGGGAAAAAGAAAGCTTACAGTTTCTCAATTTTTGTCCAGTTGCTGATAAATTTTGGTATCTTTCCAGTAAAATTGTTGTCACTTATCCTCCTAATATCGCCAAACAACATGGCATATTATGAGTTAGTTGTAGAATTTGATTACAAAGGAACAAATAGCAGAACAAAAATAGTTATAAAATGAAATGTCAACTTAAGATCCTCAAGGATATTGTAGCAGAATCAGTGGAAGAAATAGACAGTTAGTAATAGAAGCTAGTGCTATAACCGCAATCAAAAGAAAACTCAAAAAGAAGAAAGTTAATTATGTGATCATTCATCACAAAGGAAAGAAAGAATGAGCAAAATGAGAGAGAATTTGAACTGTGAACTCACAAATCAGTTAAGTTGGTTAGCTTGGCTAATGTGGGTGGCAAAGCTCCGGTGAATTCATTCGAGGACAACACGCTGAAAATTAAGGCAGAGATGCATTAATAAAACGTGAAAATGACTAAAGAAATCCAGATCGAAAAAAAGAACATGCATAAATATAATAGGAGAAAAAAAGAATTTACAGCTTTTCCATATGAACCAAATTGCCAATTTCTGGAGGAATTGATCCTGAAAATCTGTTTCCTTCAATGCTCCTGTATTGACAATCATAGAAGAAGTATTTTAACTCTCACAGAACCCAATACAGGTGATCATAATTTCTTTGTCTGAGCAGCAGTTTGCTTTTGAAATAAATGTTGGGATCTAAATAACACGGTGCATGCGGAAGCTAACATGATGCATGCAAAGAAAAATATACTAAACTAGGCATAATAGTTTATTATGGTTTGGTTAATCGACCTACATATAATTTATTATTAGAAGATTTATTCCTCGTTCAAAAAAGAGAGTCGTAATAGGTAAGAAATTCAGGGCAAAACCCTACCAGTAAAATGCTTTAGGAAAAGGATAATAAAAAAAATGTACACATAGAGACATGATTTATAGGGATTTTTTTCCCTACACGCCACAATATGATTCTCAATTCAGTATCACAGTGTAGTGTAATATGCTCAATCAAGAAATCACCAGACTGAAATGGTAAAGGATTTAAGTCACAGACAGTGCAAAGATTTGTTTTATATTGTCAGTGTAATTTAACCTATAATGCCAGGTTAAGTTACCATTTTGACCAGGTTGGTGCTTATCATAGAAATTTACTTGTAATTACCTTATACATGACCTAATTGTATAAATATTATATAAAGTCAGTGAAGAGAACTTAAACTCTATGGTGAAAACAGATTGAAATAACACATTTCAGCACAAACTAAATGCAACAGTATAAATGACTAGTAGGAATCATAAAAAGAATTGATCTTACAGGTTCCTAAGCGTAGGGATTTTGGTGAGAACTTTTGGAAATGGACCAGACAAGTGGTTTCCCATAACAGAGCTGCAAATTTAAATAACAAGTGTTTACATGCCAAATAGCATATTCTAAACCAGAATAGAAAAATTAAGCAGTAATGAAAATATTTAAGGTGAGAAATAGTTAATACAGGCCAAGCAAGCGCAGTGACGCCCACTGAGACGGTATTGAACCATTGAGATAATTACGGCTGAGGTCCCTGCATAATCATCATTTTGTTGGATTAGTGCAGATTCTAAGTTTTAAACATTTAAATATATATCAAAGGATAAAGTCTATTAAGTAATGTTGTAACGAGGACTTACAATTGCTTAAGATGGCGAAGTTGGGCGAATTCTGGTGGAACATTTGCTGAAATATTCTGTGCTTTCAGAGCTCTGTGGCATATAAAATTTGGTGTTTAGCTAATTGCGACTAGTGGCGTTGCATTAAATTTGCATGTAAGTTCAACATAGATGGGCTAAATGAAATTTTACATAACTTAATCGAGACAAAGACGAAGTATACAATGTTGTTTATTTGGTAGGTTTTTGAGAAAGTTCAACTTCAATACACTAGGGGGGTCGTTTGGGATAAACTTGCATGGGCTTAGATATCTCATGTAATTATCTACGCCTTCCATATTGGATAGTTAATCTCGTCATTTTAGTGTAAAATTTATCATGAAATTAATTAATACCTATGACCAAACATAAAATAAATACAATTATAAATTTTATCCTCGAATTATTATACTAATCCGTTGTACCAAACTACCAGTGTCGTCCATAATAATGAAATTGGTAATCTGAATTACAAAACTTGGAACTCTAAATAATTTTTATAAGTTAATTTTTTTCTCGAAATAGTATTTTTTTAATACACTTATTGGAAAAATTGAAATATCTCTAAGTTTTTGAAAACTTTACTAAGACAATGCTACTTAAGCTCATGGGTCCACTGACACCTCATTACAAGCTGGAGTGGACAGCCAAATAAGACGTTGACTCAATTTTCAGTGAACCATAGAAGTAAGTGTTACTTAAAGTGAACACATTCATTTCATTTCCCACTCGCAAAAGGTGAGCCCCTGTAGAATTAGCAGGATCAAAACAAATGTACAGATTCAATCAAAGTCTCAACCTTTCAAACTTGAAATCAAGAACAACTCCCTTAACCTCAATCTTCTCATTTTGCCAACAAATAAAAAACTGCAAATTTTATTATTAACAAAGAAAGACAGTCTGTATCCGGTGTTCATGCAGTATTTGAGGAAGGGCCGCATCCAAGAGAGTGTAATGATAGTCAGCCTACCCTAATACAAGCCTCAATGATTGACTATATGGCTCAAACCCGTGATATATGTCACGTGAAGATAACTTTGCTGTTGCTCCGAGACTCCCTTCCCGCAGATTATATTATGTTTGTTCAAAAACAAATTAAATAGAGGGGATGTTATACATACATGGAGGTAATATGACAGGTCGAATTGTTGTTAAAAGAGCAATCACAAGCAACAGAACTCTCAAGTCCTTTAACAGTAACTGCAACACTCCAATTCCCTTCTCCACTGCAAGGATCCTTGTCAAAATCCCAATCTCTTTTCCCAAGCTTTTTGGCTATCTCTTTCAATGCTTTCACTGCATATATATAGCCAAAAATGAACCCAAGGGGAATTGAAAAACCAGATAATATTTTACAAAGTAGGAATATATATGTGTAGACAATAATTAAACAAGTTTATAATTACCTTCTGCTGGATGGAGCTTGGACTTGGAATTACTGGCTGCTAAACAGTGAACTGTGAAGAAAACTAGGAAAAAAGAAGAAGAGAATATAGATTTAAGAAGCATTATGCTCATTTTCTAGCTACCTATAATTAAATTGTAAGCAATACGAAATACTTGAGAATTTCAGTACTCCTTTATGAGCATAGAAAAAAGAAGATTGGGTGAAAGTTCATTTTATAAGAGTGAAGTGCTGATGAGGTGGGGGCATTATATATATGTAGGAGATAAGAGAATTAATTTGAACAAAGAGGGGATTGGTTGGTAGTGACAATTGCGACACCCCTTTCTTGGATCTTTTTATTACTCTAGTATATTGTAAATTCTTTAAGATTAATTTTCTCTTAATTATTTTTGTGGTGTTTTTAATATTTTAATCAGATTCTTGAAACACTGTATACTAAATTTCTCCCATTCGGTACTGTCACTTGGCGCGTTTTGATTGAATAGTGAACTCATTTCACCGACCAATTTAACCTTTTAGTGCAAACTGAAACAAACTCCACATTTACTCTACCTTATTTTTCTTTTTCTTTACTTGTTAAAATAACTTTCTTTTCCAAAATTATAAAATTTACTCATATTATATTTTGTAAAAAGTTATATAAAACTATTATTATATTTAGTTTATATTTTTTGTATTTTATTCTAAAAAATTCAATAATAGTACTTAGCACATAATTAAGACCTAATATCTTCATATTAAACACTGAATAATTCTTCTATTTTACTATTTCAAGTATCTGTCTAGACCAGAATTGAGATGTTAAATTAGACACGATTCAGGAAACGGTTAGTACTTTCAGATAATGATTTCCTTAAAAGATAAAAGAAGAGATTGCTTGCCACTAAGGAATCAATACAAATGTAGCATACACACTACAGAACCAGCCACTCCACCTCTTTCTCGATAAAAGTCTGCATTTTATCTATGTAGTATGTACTAGACCGAGTTAAATTTACCATGGACCAGTAATTAATTAAGATAAGACTACATTTTAATTAATTTGAATAAATAATATTTATTTAAAATACGCATGTGATGTGTTTATTTTATTAAAACATACACGATGTGCAGGTAAATATATCCACTCTTCTCAACACTATAACTTTTGCATTTATAAGTAGTGGTAATAAAATCTGTGACTTGAAATAAAAAAAAATTATCCACTTCTCATCATCTTAATATCACTTAATTAAGCAGTTCAAAATTAAGGACTTAGACACTTTGCATACCTTCTTTGGGTTAAGATCATTCTCGATTCTAATGGTTTATTGATTTGCCAAAAGAATTTTACCATGCATGGATTTGTTTGCAGAGTCTAATGTTTCATGTTAGATGTGTTCTCTGTTATAAGTCTCCCAGATATTTAATTTCAAACTTAAGCATGATTATAGTGGCTTATTTGCCTAATCATAGTTCGAATAGGCAACTTATTTGACTAGTTAAACATATTCTTACACGCTCGAACAATCAGACATTTATTTTGCTACACAACAATTAAGTCAATTTTTGCAAACCCTTCATTCTCTATCCTCAGAAGTAGATTGCCTATCATGTTCTCAAATACTTTACAGTTTACTCAAGTACTAACTACATAGGATACTTACATGACTGCTATAGATGACTTCTCTATATACACAAGCCACTTCTTTATTCAACTCATAAGTAGTCCTAATCGATAGAAGTCTAAAAAGCAAACCGCGATTTCCTTATTCATATTTTATTTTTTCAGCAGAACGATAGAGACTTCATTAAACTTAGGTTGATCTAGGGCAGAGACAGACGTACGTCAAGATAATCCCACCTTTGAAACACTTTGGTAATGCTCCCAAATAATGAATCAGAGCACATGGAGCCATTTTCTTATCTTTTTTTCTGTCAACAAAAAAAATGACAGACTAACTGATATAAGCTGAATATTGAGCTGCAAAAAGTTGTTGCTGAGTTACTAAGTTGATTTGTTTATTGAGTGATTTTGATGTCCTTATTCTTCGACTAGGTTATCTTTTTTGCGCAACCAATCTACAATGCATTATTAGGAGTATAATTTTTATGAGTGCGTCAAACACATAGAAGTGGACTGTCATTTTGTCTATAATGTTCTTCCTATCAGAGGCGGATGTAGCTTACTAGCTACGTGTTCAACTGAAAACTTTCGATGCGGAGTAAAAATTTGTATATAAAAATTCATTAAAATTGCAAATATAGTAGATATGAACCCATAACTTTAAAAATATAATGGGTTCAATGTTAAAAATCTTAAAATTGAACCCATAGGATTTAAATCCTGGATCCGCCTCTGCTTCCTACAGTGGTCCGATTTCCCAACTGCGACTCACAATTTGTTGAATATTTATTTGTTCAGTAAGCCACTCCTTGAACAATTGTGTGCATAATCACCACGAGGCCTTGGGTTAAGCTACTTGAACGTCCGATAATAATACAATATTTTTGTTTTGGCTCTTTTCTTGCCTCTCTATAATTTAAGCTTCTATTCTCATTGGTCAAATTATCTCTCGTTTGACGAAAAAAGGACTATTTTATTTTAATTTCTCGGAAAGAAAATTAAGAGGCGAAATACCGACAGTATATTAATTGACAAGATCTGACCCGTAAAGTCAAAGGATCTAAATACATAAAATTGTCAACCCGTTACTTAAATGCTTTTTGCTAACCAATAATAGCCTCTAATTGGGAGAAAGAATATATGAGAACCGGTCAAACTTATTAAACGACACACAGTTTTACGCGTTGTGAAATAGTACGGCACGGTCCCCTTTCTATTAGCTGATGGTGAAATCCGCTTCTAACATTTTTTATTACACCCTCCGTATTGCTTGTCACGTTTACTACAAAATTACTGTTTCAAAAGACTTGCAATTTCGGAAAAAAAAAACAAGAGAAAATTGATTCCCTTTTTCAATTTTAACCTTACTTTAATAAATCTAGAGGGAGATTAATGTGGTAAAAACAACAAGCAGTAAAAAATTTGAGATAATATAATGACGGTTATTTTGTCAAATTATCCTTTTAGTTATTTTTTCTTAAGTGTTGTACAAAAGGCAAAAGTGACAAGTAAAAGGGAATGAAAAGAGTATGGTTGTGAAAATTTATTTTTTCTTTTATTTATCGAGAACACTATTTATCAATGTTCAGATTTTCGGGTGTTGAGATTATAGAATTGCATCACATCAGTATATTATATTTATCAGTTAGTTAGCTGAGATTGGTTGGATAGTTACAAGGGTAGTTTAGTAATTAGCTGTCATTAGTGTTTTATTTTTCAATATACATGTATATATGTACTGTAGCTAATAAAGAAAAGAACACACAGAAAATTCCCCAATTTCCTCTCTCGAACCTTCCCTTTCTCTCTCTGTAGAAGCTTGAGGATAGCCAACAATGGAGGTTGGTCCGTCATGCTAGCTTCACTTTTGTTATGGTATCAGAGCTAAGCTCTAATTTCTCAACATAAATCCTTCTAAATTTCATCAATTTCTCTTCTCGATTCTCAAATTCAGCAAGTACGAGTTCACGCCTTGACGGAAGGGTTTCTGAAAATTTTCATCTAATTTCTTCAAATTGAGAAATCAATTGCTCCGATCCACTTCAATCGATGGCTGGAGATAAGGAAACTCAAAGTACAACTGGTAATTTGAATTCAACTAACCCATTGTACATGCACCCGTCGGAAAGTGCCGGAACGACGCTAGTTCCTGTTGTTTTTGACGGAACCAGATACAGATCCTGGAGAAAAGGAGTCCTTAGGGCTTTGTCAGTAAAGAACAAAGTCGGATTCATCACAGGAAAGTGTAAGAAGCCTAACACTGATGAAGCGACCTACGATCAGTGGGCTCGTTGTGATGATATGGTTACATCGTGGATTTTGAATTCACTCTCAAAGGATCTAGCTGATAGTCTACAATATGTCAACGACACTAAGGAGTTATGGCAAGAGTTAGAAGACAGATATTATCAAATTAATGGAGCAAAACTTTATCAACTGCAAAAGGAAATTAGTGACCTTAGTCAAGGGGCTTTGGACATCACAGGGTATTACACTAAAATGAAACGACTTTGGGAGGAATTGAACACCTTGAATGCACATGCACAGTGCAATTGCCAATGCACTTGTGGTGCAAAGGCAAATATGCATAAAGCTAAGCAGGATCGAAGACTAATTCAGTTCCTAATGGGCCTGAATGAAGTTTATACAGTTATGAGAGGCAGTATATTGATGATGAATCCATTGCCCAACATAGCTCAGGCTTTCTCTATCCTTATCCAGGAAGAAAAATAGAGAGAAGTCAGACCAAACAACAAATTAGTCATGGAGTCCACCTCATTGAGTGCAAATGGACCCGGTAATGCCAAGTTCAGGACCAATTACAATCAGAGAGGAGGCAGTACTGGGCTAAACCCATACAATTCAAACAAATCAAACTATCCAACTGCTAAGTCTCGAATGTTCTGTGACTATTGTAAAAGGCCAGGACACGCCAGGGACACCTGTTACATAATTCATGGGTTTTCACAGGACTTCAAGTTCACAAAAGGGAGAAATGCAGCATCTGCTGCAAATGTTCGTGTAGATTATGAGGAGATGAAAGAAGAAAATCAAAGTCAGGGACTTTAGAGCCTAACAAAAGAGCAGTACAACCAATTACTTAGCTTACTGGAGAAATTCCGAGGAAGAAACACATGAGAAGGTCCTAACAACAACATGACTTGTGGAGCTGCAAACTTCGCAGGTATTCTAGCTTGCTCTACCTATAAAGAGATTGCTGAAACAACCGTGTGTAGATGTTCTAAATCAATTGCTGACTTGTGGATATTAGATAGTGGAGCCTCAAATCATATGACATATAGAAAATCCTTTTTAAATAATGTTGGAACCTTGCCCTATCCTTTCCTAGTTACCTTACCTAACGGATATATAGTGAATGTGACAGAAATTGGAGATGCATCTCTTGGTCCTATGCTAACCTTAGTTAGAGTATTATATGTGCCTACTTTCAAATACAACCTCATCTCTATTTACTCCTTAACTGATTACCTCAATTACATAGTTAACTTCAGTAAATACCTTTGCACGATGCAGGCCCCTTCAATGAAGAGGCCTCTGGAGATTGGTAAGGCAAGGAGTGGATTGTACTTCCTTTGCCCTGAGTGTCATGGGTGTTCAGAGTCTGGTTCATTTTCTGTTCCTGTCAATCTTTACTCTCATTCTTGTTTTCCTGCATTGACTGATGTTGTAAATAGAGGAAAGAGTCACAATTCACCCATACAATCCTTGTCAAGTGTAAATAAGTTATCTCAGTCACATAACACTGTCAATGTAAATACTCTTCACTCAAGCAGTAAAACTGACTCTTCCTTTAATGTGAGTTCTCTCTTTTGTTGTCTTCATCATCTCATGAAAATAACAATTAGAATCTATGGCATAACAGGCTGGACCATGTACCCTTTGTAAAAATGAGAACTATCTCCACTATACCTGTTGAATTTTTCCACAAGCAGCCATTCACTTTCCATGTTTGTCCTATGGCAAGGCAGATAAGGTTACCTTTTGGCTAAAGAACTTCATCCACTTCCAGAATATTTGAACTCTTACACATAGATTTATGGGGGCCCTATCACACAACCACACATGACAGTTACAAATACTTTCTTACCATGGTTGATGACTTTAGTAGATCAACCTGGAGTCATCTCTTAAGTAGCAAAAGTAACACTTTTCAAGCCATCAAAGCTCTTGTTTCTATGATTGAAAATCAGTTTAGTACATCAGTCAAGACTGTCAGGTCAGATAATGGGCTGGAATTTGTGAACAATAAAACCATGTTATTTTTTCAAGAGAAAGGCATAATCCACCAGAAAACTTGCCCATACACACCACAACAAAATGGTGTGGTTAAGAGAAAACACAAATACCTGCTAGAAACAGCTAGAGCTTTACTTTATCAATCCAAATTGCCAATGAGATACTGGGGAGAGTGTATACTAACTGCTATATATTTGATAAATAGACTGCCTTCTTCAATTATCAACAATAAATGCCCCTTTGAGCTTCTTCACAACATAAAACAAACATATTCATATCTTAGAAGTTTTGGTTGCTTGTGTTATGCCACCACACTCAAAACTCACAAAGACAAATTTGAACCTAGAGCCACTCCTCCTGTGTTTGTAGGATATCCCTTTGGAACCAAAGGATATAAAGTCCTTGATTTAGCCACAAAGAGGGTACATATGTCTAGAGATGTTATGTTCATGAAGATGTTTTCCCTTTTGCCATTTCACATGAACATTCCTCTTTCCCTTCTGTGTTGCATATGATAAACCACAATTCCCCATGTCCCAATTCCACAGTAAATACACTTGATGATCATTGTAATAATGATAGAGATGCATCAACTTCTGTCACTGAAAGTCCTATATCTGATACACCAGACATTAGCCCTTTGTCAAACTCTACAAGCACACCAAATCATATTTCACATGTAAGCCTAAATCCAGAATCAAATGCTTCATCTGTAGAACACTCAAAACTCCACACTGCATCTTTCAACCAAGCACTACATAACATAGAGCCTAATATTGATCAACCAACCAATCAACATAGAAGATCAAGCAGGACACTTAGCACACACTCACACCTCAAAGACTATGTCTATACACTGCCCAATTTACAACCAAATAGTCACTTAAACAACAACACAAACCTTGAACATCAATTAGCTCTTGCTTCACTTACTCCTAATTCACTTACTGCTCTTTTTTCCAACAACCATTCTGTGTCTTTCAACACATTGAGCCATAATAGCCAGCAATTAGTTAAGAACATTTCACATGAGTGTGAACCATACTCTTATGAGGAGGCAACCTTGAATCCTGCCTGGCAAGTAGCAATGACACAAGAATTTGAAGCTTTATATACTAACCATACTTGGGATCTAGTTAAGTTACCTGCAGGAAAGAAGGCCATATGATGCAAGTGGGTGTACAAGATAAAGCACAAAGCAGATGGAAGTGTGGAAAGATACAAAGCAAGGTTTGTGGTAAAGGGATACACACAAGAAGCTGGGATTGACTATACAAATACTTTCTCCCCTGTGGTGAAGATGACCACTGTTAGAGCCCTGATTAGCACTTCAGTAAAGAAAGGATGAGACTTTTATCAGCTGGATGTGAATAATGCATTCCTACATGGAGACCTACATGAAGAGGTATACATGGAAATCCCACAGAGTCTGAAGGTAGAAGACACACAACTTGTCTGCAGACTAAGGAAGTCTTTGTATGGCCTCAAACAGGCTAGTAGACAGTGGTATGACAAGCTGACAGAGTCCCTGTATTCTAGAGGTTTCAGACATTCAACCAATGATTACTCCTTGTTCTACAAAAAACAAGGTGAGTCATCAGTTTTTGTAGTTGTATATGTTGATGATGTGATCCTTACTGGGACTAATCTTGGGGAAATTAAGGCACTGAAGACTTACTTACATAATCAATTCAAAATAAAAGACTTAGGCAAGTTACGCCACTTCCTGGGACTAGAGATGCTTTACAAGGGTGATGGAGTGTTGATCTCCCAAAGGAAATTCACCATTGACCTACTAAAAGAGTATGATTGCCTGGAGTATTCTGCTATTTCATCTCCACTAGAGTCTTCAATCAAACTGAGGGCCGAAGAGGGTACTCTGCTGTCTGACCCATCATATTATAGAAAACTAGTTGGGAAACTCAACTTTCTCACAAACACAAGGCTGGATATTGCATACAGTGTACAACACCTAAGTCAATTTATGCAGGCACCAAGAGAGCCTCACCTGAAGGATGCTATACATGTACTCAGGTATCTGAAGAATGATCCTACTCTAGGCATCTTTCTGTCCAATGATCCTTCTTACAAGGTCATAACCTATTGTGACTCAGATTGGGTAGCATACCCTGACTCAAGAAGATCTATAAGTGGGTATCTAGTGCTCTTTAGAGGTAGCCCCATTAGCTGAAAATCAAAGAAGCAGACTATTGTCTCACTATCTTCCGCAAAAGCAGAGTACAGATCACTGAGAAAGGTGGTTGGAGAGCTGGTATGGGTGCAAAGATTGTTGGAGGAAGTCGCAGTTCCATGTACTGATCCCATTCAAGTGTTTTGTGATAGCCAAGCAGCTGTACACATTGCTAGGAACCCTGTGTTCCATGAAAGTACAAAGCACAGCTGTACACATTGCTAGGAACCCTGTGTTCCATGAAAGTACAAAGCACATAGAAGTCGATTGTCACTTTGTGCGAGACAAGCTACATGATGGTCTAATTACGCTTCATCACATTTCTACTCATGATCAGCTAGCATTTTAACAAAGGCTCTCACAGGAATTAAACATTCAGATCTTCTAGACAAGCTGCCAGTGCGTTCCTCACCTCCAACTTGAGGGGGGTGTTGAGATTATAGAATTGCAGCACATCAGTGTATTATATTTATCAGTTAGTTAGCTGAGATTGGTTGGATAGTTACAAGGGTAGTTTAGTAATTAGCTGTCATTAGTGTTTTGTTTTTCAATATACATGTATATATGTACTGTAGTTAATAAAGAAAAAGAACATACAGAAAATTCCCCAATTTTCTCTCTCTCGAACCTTCCATTTCTCTCTTTGTAGAAGCTTGAGGACAGCCAACAATGGAGGTTGGTCCGTCATGCTAGCTTCACTTTTGTTATCGGGCATAATCTAATTTTTTTTTCAATTAGATTTAAATACTGGGAAGTATATTATATATAAATATATTATAAACTTTCCAAATTATAATAGCTATTAACTTAAAGTGATTGTCAAAATTATTAGTTTGACTTTTGAAAAACACAACTTAGCAGCTAACTTGATATAGTAAAATCGTGTGGTGATAGAGTTTTGGTGAATAAGGATTGCAAGATTGTGAAAAAACCATTATGTAACACGAAATTCTTTTCTAATTAACACTAGAGAAACATTGGATGGAATATTCTATTGGGTGAAATAAGAGAAAACGAAAGCACGAAATTGGTACCTATGATTAGGATGGTATTGGAGAGATCTGTTTGTTGCTTTCTTAATTAGTTAATAGTTTGAAGAAAAATATTTTGAAGTCTTATTATAACAACAAACATTAGAAAGCACAACTAAACAGTGCTACATTATTTTTGGGGGTATTCAGCTATGCTTTAGTCCGACAGAAATTAACAAATCAAATCAAATAAATCTTCTGGTTCATCGATAAATCTGAATTTAGGTGTTGATCTATTTAACTTAGAAAATATTATTTTAAGCAAGAGCTGAAATTTTATTATTATTCCTTTGCTTTCAGTGAACGTGTTTTTACTTTTATTTTTAGTCTGTTTAAGAAAAAACTGCTATTTTTTATATTTTATAAGTTCATAATTTTAATATTCTCATATTATCCTTAATGATACTACATTATATGAATGGCAAGAACTGTTTCAAACCATAAGATTCAAAAGGTATTTTTGGTAATGTTATATACACACCTTTAGTTTAAGATTACTGTATACGGTCAAAATAGATTTCGGTTTTCCTACGTTCGATCGAGATCGAGTGGAAAGAAACCGGACTAGGATTTTGGCAATAAGCTCCGAAGATGGAACAAACGAGCCTCGAGTCCGAAGGCTGCTCGAGGAGTTGGCTCGATAATCTTATCGAGTCCGAGGCATTGCTTCGAGGTCGGAAGTGCATCACGCCCACCCCGAAGGTCGAACTCAAGCCAAGACCGAAAGGCCGACCCAGTGACGGGTTCGAGCCAGTACCGAGTTCGAGCCAGTAGCGAGCTCACATACAAGAGCCGTTACAACCGCACCAAGAGAGAGAATCTTGGCGGGAATCGAGGGAGAGACAAATCATCATGGGTTCTCCACTATATGCTTTGTTTATATTTTTGTTATAAATAATGTAATGACCCTCAATTATAAAAGGGGGATCCCTGTAAACATCAGATAGATTGGAAAAACAACAGACCTTTTCTTATAGACAAAGATTTCTCCTTGTGCCTGTTTTTCCGTTCATCATTCTCATTCTCATTCTCATAGTCAAAATACTTGTACTGTTATCTTTGTATCAAAGGATATTACGTATCCTTAGAATCATACATAAATTTAACATTATTCGATTTTTCGGGTAAACAGTTTGGTGCCCACCGTGGGGCTAAGGATAACAGTGATTGTTTGATATAAACCTACAGTACACACCAGCGTACAACTTCAAATCAGCAATGGCTTTACCTATCGACCACGAAGCCGGCCTTCAAGGTGAAACCAATAACTTGGCACCCGGGGCCGGAAGGCCCTTCGATAATGGCACTGAGGCTCGAATCGAAGCACTCGAAATACGAGCCGAAGTACCATTGGATGTCAATTCACAAATAGCTCTAGAGACGCATCAGCGTTCCGAACCGGAAAGAAGCATTCAGGGCGGAACTCGATCCGTAGCCCGAGACACCCATAACGCGGGGGAAATCGGGGTCAACTTGCATATGATCTTCGAGATGCTACAAGCCCAACAAGTAGCGATAGCTCAGTTACAGAGCCAAACGCATATACAGAGCAGGCCGGATTCCAATCCGCTTCAAGAAATTACCCCAGAATGGAGCCCGCCGTAGTCAAATCAAACGAGCAAGAATCGGGGACCGCTACCAACCGTACATCACAGATCGGATGAACAACGGTTCAGCATGCAATACAGTTCGGAACAATCGAAGGATTGATAGAGGGAAAAATTCTCGGGGACTTATGAGCAAAAGAGGATTTGATAAATATTCTGATCCTATAGAAGCACCTCAGTTATCAGAGTATAACTTCAGCGTTGATGCATCCGCCATCGTGTCAGCTATCGAACGCATCAAAGACACTAAATAGCCTCGACCCATGCAGACCGATCCTGCCTAAAGGAATCCCAATCAAATGTGCGAATATCATGGCACCCATGGCCACAGAACGGATGATTGTAGGCAATTAAGAGAGGAAATAGACCGCTTATTTAACAAAGGGCACCTTCGAGAATTTCTGAGTGATAGGGAGAAGAATCATTTTAAAAATAGGGATTTCGGCAAGCAAAACGAGCAAGAGGAACCGCAGCACGTCATTCACATGATCATCGGTGGTGTCGATACCCCTCAGGGACCGATGCTTAAACGCACTAAAACATTGATTGTGAGGGAAAAACGATCTCGGACTCAAGATTATGCACCCATAGGGACTTTGTCCTTCGACGATGAAGATGCAGAAGAAGTCATCCAACCTCATAACGATGCACTGGTAATATCTGTACTCGTGAATAAAACTAAAATTAAGCGTGTGTTAATCGACCTAGGTAGATCGGCCAACATCATCAGATTGAAGGTCGTGGAACAGCTCGGTCTGTAGTACCAGATAGTACCCGCGACTCTGATTCTAAACAGATTCAATATGGCATGTGAAACCACCAAAGGTGAGATAATCCTACCAATAAACGTGGCTGAAACCATCCAGGAAACAAAGTTTCACGTGATCGAAGGCGATATGAGATACAACACCCTTTTTGGAAGGCCATGGATCCACAACATGACAATTGTGCCTTCGACCCTACACCAGGTCCTCAAATTTCCAACATCGAGAGGTGTCAAAACAGTGTACGGAGAACAACCGGCCACAAAAGAAATGTTCACCGTCGAGGAAGCGAAATCAATATCCTCACCTTCGCCGATAAAGGGATCGGGATCAGAAGAAGAACGGTACACCAAATAGCAATCACAGATGTCGGTTTTGACCCAGCCAGATAACCAGAAGATCGAAGAAGATGATGATCAGAGGATCCCTCGATCCTTTGTGATCCCCGATAATTCTGACGCCACCAAATTAACAATTGAGGAACTGGAGCAAATCATACTAATCGAACATTGGCCCGAACGAAAGGTATAGCTGGGGACAGGGTTGAGCCCCGAACTTAGGAAAAAACTTGTTCGATTTCTTATCGATAACATTGATTGTTTTGCCTGGTCCTATTTAGATATAACAGGGATCCCATCGGACATAACGACGCATCGGTTAAGCTTGGACCCTAGGTTCAGACCGGTGAAGCAAAAAAGAAGACCCTAGTCCGAGGAAAAGCACGCATTCATAAAGGACGAGGTAACCAAACTTCTCAAGATAGGGTCCATTCTGGAGGTAAAATATCCCGAATGGTTAGCCAATGTAGTTGTAGTGCCTAAAAAAGGTAGCAAACTTAGAATGTGTATGGATTATAAGGATTTGAACAAAGCATGCCCCAAAGATTCCTTTCCGCTGCCCAATATCGATTGCATGTTCGATGCCACGGCCGACCACGAGATCCTCACTTTTCTCGATGACTATTCCGGATATAATCAAATCCAGATGAACCCAGAGGACCAGGAAAAGACTTTGTTTGTCACCAAATATGGAACATATTGCTATAATGTGATCCCCTTCGGACTAAAGAATGCAGGGGCTACTTACCAACGCCCAGTAAATAAAATATTCGAAGAACAAATAGGTAAATCAATGAAAGTTTATATTGATGACATGCTAGTCAAATCCCTATGCACAGAGGACCATTTAACCCATTTGCAGGAAACATTCGAGATTTTGAGGAAATACAACATGAAGCTCAACCCCGAAAAATGTGCTTTCGGGGTCGGCTCGGGCAAGTTCCTCGGCTTCATGGTGTCAAATCGAGGAATCGAGATTAACCCCGAAAAAATCAAGGCCATCGAAGACATCGCCATCGTGGACAGCGTGAAAGCTGTACAAAAGCTAACTGGATGGATTGCAGCCTTAGGCCAATTCATTTCGAGATCATCAGATTGAAGTCAAAAGTTTTTCTCTCTACGAAAAAAGAAGAACGGTTTTGCTTGGACACCGGAATGCCAACAAGCATTAGAGGAACTAAAATGATATCTATCGAGTCCCCCACTTCTTCACACTCCAAAAACAGACGAAAAACTTTGCTTGTACTTGGCAGTATCTGAAGTCGCCGTGAGCAGTGTCCTAGTTTGAGAAGTGCAAGGTACGCAATTTCCCGTTTATTATATAAGTCGGACCTTAGGAGAAGCAGAAACCAGGTATCCACACCTAGAAAAATTGGCGCTTGCACTGATAAACGCCCCTAGAAAGTTAAGACCGTACTTTCAATGTCACCCCATATGCGTATTAACCACCTACCCACTTCGTAATATTTTGCACAAGCCCAAACTATCAGGCGGATTGGCCAAGTAGGCCGTCGAACTCAGTGGGTACGATATCGAATATCAACCCCGTACCGCCATCAAGTCTCAAATTTTAGCAGACTTTGTGGCCGATTTCATGCCAACCCCCGTACCCGAAGTCGAAAAAGAACTCCTATTGAAATCGGGTACATCATCGGGGGTGTGGATCCTTTTTACGGACGGAGC